CACCAATCTCTACAGTTTGCTCTTTAGGTCTTTTTTGCAGGTGTTTCTGTGATGCATCCCTTCAGAGTTATCACAGATGCTCCTTTTGCCTCTTCTCTGTATTTCAACACCAATTTCCTAGAATTCATTGTTCTTTATTTACTTACTTACTTGTTTGCAGAAACACATCCCTCTAGTATCATCCTCAGAAAGGGTATGTGAGAGAGAAATTTTTTGAGATCTGAACATGTACTTGATTGTGAATTTGGATATAGAATTCTAGATTGAAAATATTTTCCTTCAGAAAATTGAAGGCATAACCTCAATGTCTTTTCAGCTTCCATTTTTGTTACTAAGTGCAATGCCATTTTTACTATCAATTGTTTGTGATCACCGCCCCCCTGGAAATTTGTAAGGTATTTTTTGTTTCTAGTTTTTGAAATGTTATAATTTGTTCCTTGGTTTGGGTATTTTTTCATTCGCAGTTCTGGGCAATTAGTAAATAATCTGAAAATAGATTCTTCAGGGAAATTTTGTTGAATGATTGGAGAATTTTCTTACCTCTTTTTCCTTTATTTTCTACTTCTAGAACTTCTATTACATGAATATTGTACTTTCTGGATAGATAGTATACACTTATTGGATTGTATGTTTTCTCTGTCATTTACATTTGACTATTCTCTGCAATATTTCATTGGCTACATTGTTCAAAATTTTAATTGAATTCTTTAATTCCAGCTCTTATTTATAATTTGTAAGTATTTATTTTGTTCTCTGATAATTTACTTTAAAAAAAGACACTTTATGGACGTAACATCTTTCTGAGGAGGTAAACTATAGAAAATTTTTTTTGAGAGAGAGAGAGAGAGAGAATTTTTTAATATTCATTTTTTAGTTTTTCGGCGGACACAACATCCCTGTTTGTATGTGGTGCTGAGGATCAAACCTGGGCCACACACATGCCAGGCGAGCGCCCTACCGCTTGAGCCACATCCCCAGCCCAATAGATAATTTTTTTTCTTTTGTTTCCTGCATTGTCTCTGTTACTTCTGAATTCTTCTATTTGTTTACATCTGTTTTTCGTAATGCAGTCTTTCCTTCATTGCCCATTCATAGGTAATAGTAAAGTAGTAAAAACAAAGAATTGGAAGCTTCGGGCAATGGGTCAGACCCATGGACAAATAGGCTTCAATGCATGATGATTTGCAATAAGTTGCCTCATCACTAGGGAAATACTGAAGGTGTCATTATCTAAAGGCCTTTTCTCTGTGCGTTTCAGTTCTCCAGAGGTTTCTGTAATCTCTTGTTTGGGATATAAAGTCCTGGCTGCTCTTATTCTGGGAACTGTGCAAAGAAAGACGTCATTCAGCAAAAAGAGTTTTATTTAATCCTTCTATTTTCATTCTGGCACCTGCTATTGTGCCTGGTTGCTCAAGATAAGGATTTAGGATAAAGAAAGAGATATACTGAGTCTCAAAGGAAACATCCATGAGCCACTGAAATGCAGAAAGCATTCTGGAACAGTTGTAACTCCTGATAGACATGCCCTGGGGCCACCCCCTTGTAAACTGAGGGAAACTGGCACGCTTAGAGAAATCCTGTACGTAGATGTGAGGCTTTACTCTGGCTCTACCTCCAGTTTGGCCCCCAACTACTGCCCCTCTATAAATATTGGAGCTCCTATGCAAGGAGGGACTTCTCACTCTCCAGATAGCCTGCATTTCCCCTTGCATGTCTGTCTACTTACTGTGCATTTGTCTAATGTGCTGAGATTCTTTTTCATCACGTATGACAAGAACCCCACTGGTCCGGAGTCGAATTTCCCTTTCCTTCAGGGATCTCCTAGGACCCTTCTCCAGAGACATCTCTTCTCCCATGACATCCCCAATCCTTTTTTGTTTAATTTTTTCAGCAAATAAGTCTCTTGTCTCCAGTAGGATGGGAGAGAGATAGTGGTCTGGGTAGGCAGTGGAATGAGGATGGGACAATTGCTGCTTGTGGAGACTTTTACCCGTATTTTCAGCCTTTTGCCTCCTTCCTGCTTTCTCCTGTACCTACTGCCTCTAATTTCTGAGGCATTGGGAGGATCTGCTCATTTTTCATGAGCATCCCCCTGGGAATGCGCGTAGGTCTCTGTTACCTCTCTTCCAAACACTTCCTACCTTCCAAACATCATTGACATCTCTCATCTATTGTCTTCTCTCCTCTACTCATTATTCTAGAGATTTATGGTTTTTATTTCTTTGCTATAATATATAGAGTTTGGGAAGAAGAGATTAATACATTGTTTTCATTTGCCATGTCTAACCAGAAATCTACTCTCTCATATTACTTTTTTATATTTGGCAGTCAGGTGTTGGGAGCTGGTGATAGTGGGGATTGAACCCAGGGTCTTATCCAGGCTAGGTCAGTGCTCTACCACTGAGTTATATCCTCAGCCCTTTTGAGACAGTGTCTCACTTTAAGTTGGCCAGGCTGCCTCAAAATTTTGATTCTCTGCCTCAGCCTCTCAAGTATCTTGGAATGCAGGAGTGTGCTAACTCCCCTGACCTACACATTTTAAAAAGTGAGATGCCTAGAACTGAAGATAGTGTTCAGGTCTGATGTCCCCATTATAGAATAAAACTAGATACATCCCTTGATCTAAGTGTAATTTATTTTTGGTTGCAGCCTATGTTTCTGTTAGCCTTTTGCCCCTGAATTTGTATTTGGCTTCCATTTGACTGAACAGTGTACAACTCCAGGTTTTCAAAGTGATCAGGTTAGGTGTCCTGTGATCATTTTTGTGTACCTTTGTCAGTCCTCTCTTCTTATATCCCTGGGATAGATCCCACAGTTACTTTCTTGATTGCTGCTAGGTTTTTGCTAATTTTAAAGGATGTTTTTGTATGCATAGATAAGAGTGCATTTTTACCACACCATACTGTTTTTGTCAAAATTGGTATGAGTGTTACACTGGCTCCTTAAAAAGGATTTGGAAAGTTTCCTTCTTTATGCTCTTGAACAGTTGAAATATCATTGGGGAAAAATTAACTAAGCTGGCTAAATGCAATGTGGTATCCTGGATTTGATCCTGGAATGAAAAAGGAATATTAGTGGAAAAAACTGGTGATATTTGATTATAGTCTATAGTTTGGTTTAATAGTATTGTGCTAATAATGTTAATTTGTTAATTTTGAAAAAAGCATAATGCTTATGTAAGATGTTAACAGTAGGGAAAACCAAATGAAGAGCATCTGGTAACTTTTTTTTATTATTATCTTTGTAACCTGATTATACATCTACAGTTATTCCTAAGTGAAAACTTTATTTAAAACAAAACAAGAACAAATCACTAGGGTGACCTGCATCTTATGAATGTGTAGGACTTCACCTTTAAGCCAGACTGTGAATGGCTTTTTTTGGTAAGAAGAGGGGTGAAGCATTTTAACAAATTTCTCTTCTACAATAATTATAGCTTTTCTGTGTCTTCCAGGGTCATCTTAGATCATTTATGTTTTCCTTTGGAAACTATCCATGTCATCAGGGTCTTCAAGTGTATTCATGTAGTGTTAAGCAACATAATATCTTATAATTCTTATTTTTTAATTGTTCTGTATCTATGTTTATTTCCAAATGTCTTATCTTATTTTGTGTGGGTATTTATTGAGCTATGGGATTAATTTGGTGAGTTGAGACCAATTTTTTTTAAATATCTATTTTTTTTAGTAATAAGTGGACAAAATGTCTTTACTTTATGTGGTGCTGAGGATCGAACCCAGTGCCTCACACATGCTAGGTGAGTGCTCTGCCTCTAAGCCACAACCCCAGCCTGAGACCAATATTTTTTAAAGTGAATAGACTATAATAAAAAACTCAATATATATTGATTTGTGGAACATTAATCATATATATATATATATATATATATATATATATATATAGTGTGTGTATATATATATTGTATATATATATATATATATATATATGTATTTCTTCCTTTGTTAACCTGAAAATATCTATCAAATCACAAATGCATGCAACTTTTGACCTAGCAATTTAATATTTGGGAACCTATCCAGGTATATAATTGTAAACATGCAGAAATGATATATGTACAACATAACTCATTGTAATATTATTTATAATAGTGAAAGATTGGTAATAACCCAAATGTCTACCAATAGGACTCTTTTTTAAATTACAGTACATTCATACAATGGAATACTCAGTAGTTGCAAAAAGAATGAGGAAGGAATCTATGCACTGATGTGGAAAGATATCAAGGATGTATAGTCTAAGGAGAAAACAAACCCTGGTGCAGAACAGTGTGTGATGTACTGCCCTTTGTGTTGAGGAAATAGAAAAATCTGTATTTGTGTTTATTTGCATAGACATGAAGAAACTCTGGGAGGACAGATAGCAGGAGAACAGTGTGGGCAGGGGAGCTGGGTGGATGGCAAGTCAAGAACTTTCACTGTGTACATATTTTTTACTATGATAAGGATACTTAACAAAAGATCTACCCTCTTCACAAACATTTAAGTAGACAACAAGTAGCTACATCTTTTTTTAAAGGCTAGAGTTGAATTATACATATGAACAACCTCTTCAAAAATGAAATATAAAATGTTGAGCCAAAGAAGCAGCACTTGGAAGAATATGCCCAGCGTGATTGAGAATGCTCCCAGGTTCCTGCAGTTCCTGACGCAGGCTACACTGAACTGTGTTGTCCAGGGATGCACACATAGTTGGGGGAGAAAAGACAGTGTCACATAGTCATGAAGTTTGAGAAGCCTTATCTATTGCACTGTCTCACTCTTGTGTGACAGATACAAAGCTATTCTGTTGACCAAAGATTGGCCTCTTCAGGGCAGAGATAGCTAAGTGTTTACTTTGCAGGCATTGAGCTTTATGTTGATTTCAGATAGAAGGAGAACACTAGATATTTGCTCAGCATGTCTTCAAATGGGCAAATACAGGAAGTATGATACCTTACAGCATTTTGGTTAGCTTCTTAAGAACACTCTTCTTCTTTTTAGGTAAATGGAAGAGCTGGAGACCAGTTTATTCCAGACTCGGAAAGCACACAGAATAGAACAAATGGTAGCGAGATGGCTTCGACGCTCCCGGGACAGCTCAGCCCGGTAAGGCTCCCACTCCCCAGTGAGCAGATTTTTATCTGTCAGGATTTGGTATCCCTGTGGGAGGAGGTTTTGCCAGTCCTGGCAGCACCTGGGGATCGCAGTCTCTGCTTTGCTTTGTTCTTACACCATATGGGAGGGAGAAGTGTACATAGTTCAGTGATTTGGCTGGGATGCCTTTCCCTGTACCCCCACCCCAACATACACCCACACGCACAGTCACATTCACCTCAAACTCACACACATATTTAAAGAAACAGACACAGTCACACAAATGCTCTTGCATACTCATACACATGTACATATGCACTTTGTGGAATACATGCTCATATTCTCTCTCTCTCTTTCTCTCTCTCTCTCTCTCTCTCTCTCTCTCTCTCTCTCACACACACACACACACACACACACACACACACCCCTTGTCTTGGTATTTGATATGTGAGCCAAGCAACCTGCTGTTTATATTCTTTCCCTATCTTTGTTTCCTGCAGCTGTTCCTTCCTTGTAGTCCTTATTTCATTCTTAACAAAATAAAATGAAATCAAATACAGATCTGATTTGACTGCTACAAGAGAACTTTAAAATATGTTCTGTTTTAAAGTGTTCATTTTCCATCTCAGATTTCCCGTCTGGCCCTGCCACAGAGATGAAATATCACATGTCAGGTGTTTCTGAGACACACATTCTTCCAAAGGAAATGGAAACAGCTGTTCTGCTGCCCAGTAAGAAGCTTTGCTCACTGGGCAAGTTCCCCAATCCTCACACGTTGAGCTGAGATAAGGCTATAGAATTAGTACCATTTTACAGATAAACACCTGAGGTTCAGAGAGTAATTTCTTTAGGACCATTCCTGCTCAGAAATCTTTGGTGAGTCCCCATTTCTTATAGAATGAAGTCTAAATGGTTTAGACTTCCAGTTTCTCTGTGGTTGACCCATAGTCCTTCAAGCTATTTATCTTACTACTCGCCTGCATTCATATTATGCAAAAATGAACTATTCACTGTTCACTACTACAGCCACTGTCTCTTCCCCTTTGCCCCTTGAACCTGGGCTCCTATACCAGGCCCCTTCTCTCATCTGCATATGTCCAGAACCCACCCATGGTTAAGGCTGCCTGAAGTACTGGGTCTTCCATGAAGTGTTACCCAGTCCACACTCAGAATGAACCCTCCCATGGGACCCCGTGGTATTTGAATTATAGCCACAGCATTGTGCTCCTCCTGGTGTGTTCAACTTCTTTGAACACATTCATTTTCCTTCTTCTAGACCATCCTTCCACAAGGTCCTGGAAAGTATTAGCCTAATCTCTGTAGCCCAGAAGTGACTGAGTTGTACAAGCATTAGAGGTGATCAGGTAGTGCTCAGTGAATGAATGGGAAACTACAAAGCATCTTGTTTCCCAGTATTCTGCAGAACTTAGTCCTGTGAGGTGCTGCTCCACTAAAAACGATCCTGTGACGAGAAGTGTTTGGGAAATTATGTTACCTATGTTCTATCTAATCATGTACCTTGTTAGTTCATTATACATATTATGCACATGGTATCAATTAAACCTTTAAAAAGTTCTGCAGAAAAGATACCCATTTAATTGGATGTTGCCTAACTATTTGACCTTGGAACCTGTTAACATCTTACTTCTCTCACAGGATGTACATGAGAGATAATATTGACCTCTAGCAAGCTTTCCCCCCGCATATCCTCTTTGAGGTACATTTCACATACCATTAAATTCAACCAAATATACAACTAAGTAGTTTTTAGTACATATATATATATATTTTAGAACACAATCTGATTTTAGAACATTTTTAATACTCCAAAAAGAAACACTATACCCACTGTCATTTCCCATTTATTCCTTCCCTAGTCCTAGGTTCCCACTAAAGTACTTTTGGTGCTATAGATTTGCTTATTCTGGATATTTCACATAAATGGAATCTTAAAATAGAGTATCACTTGGGTCTGGCTTCTTCCACTCAGCATAGTGTATTCAAGATTCATCCATGTTGTAGCAAAAATCACTATTTCATTTATTTTTATTGTTAAATAATATTCCATTATGGAATGTTTTCTTTGTTCATTTTTCAGTTGATATATCATAAACATTTGGATTGATAAATACTCTCAAAAATATATAGCATGTATATATACACACACGCATGATATGTATTTATATGACAGAAACATTTTGGGTTGTTTCCACTTTTTGACTATTAGGAATAATGCTGCTATGAACATTTGTGTAAAAGATTTCATGCAAACTTATGTTTTCAGTTCTTTTGGGTATATACTTAAGGAATGGACTAGCTGGGTCACATGGTAACTCTATGTTTAATTTTTGAAGGAACTGCCAGACTGTTTTCTAAAGCAGCTGCACAATTTTACACTTCTGCCAGCTTTCTATGAGGGTTCCAGTGTCTCTACGTCTTTGCTAACACTTGCTATAATCTGTCTTTGTTATTGTAGGCATTCTAGTGGGAATGAAGTGGTATTTCATGGTTTTGACCTGCTTTTCCCTGATGGCTAATGACATTGAACATCTTTTCACATGCCTAGGGAGTTGTTTTGTTTTTAAGTGCTTGAGAAAGAAAAGAAAGAGAGAAGTTCCTCACAGCACCCATGGAAGACAGCATTTTTGCATCTGTGTTTCCAGAGTGAATCACATGTAGGCTTGTTTAAACAGTTTTTCATCTCTGATTCTGAAACCTGGATATAGGCTGGGTTCTTGTTCTCCTCTGATTACTTTTAAAATGATCAAGAATTAAAAACCCTAAGTTTGGGTAAATACTTTTTCCAGGAGTAAAGTAAAAGGTACCACTTACCATCCAGTTGCTTAATCAGGAATCCTGAGAATCGTACTGAATGCCCTATATCTGGCCCACCAGCAGCTCCTGTTGATTTGCCTTCAAACGTATCTCAGATCTTTCTGTCCCTGGGAACACTGCCATGGTCATTTATTCTTTCTCTGTCCCAGCTAATTCTCCACTCTATAGACTTTTCAAAATGCAAATGGCTCTTGTGCTTGAGCTAGCCCCCAATTCCATCACCCCCCACCCCAAACTACTCAGTGGTTCTCCTTCCATTGTGCCACGGCCTATAGGTCTCTTCCTAATCTGCTCCAGCCTAACTCTCCAACCTCACCTTGTTCCTCTTGCAACCTTGGTTAACATTTTCCATTATTATATTCCCTCTACATTCCTGGAACCAATCAAGCTCTTTCCATTTTACTCACTATTAAGTTGACCTAGAAAGTTCTTTCTTCTCTTCCTTTTACAGCTGGTCCTTATTCTTCAGATTGTTTAAACATCACCTTCTTTACAAGGTCTTTCCTGATTATCTAAGGCACGGTGGGTCCATCCTGTTTCCTCCACTCACCACACTTGGTAATAACATCGACATTTATCTCAAATCTCTCTGTCCCTGGGAACACTGCCATGGTCATTTATTCTTTATCTGTCCCAGCTAATTCTCCACTCTATAGACTCACCATTTACCTATTTATCTCCCTCACCTACTTATTGTGTGACCTTTCTCCCATGACCCGACTGTCACATGTGAGACCACGGACCATGACTGTCTTGTTTTACAAAGTATTCTCAGCTGTGGCAGAGTGCTTACTATGTAGTAAATGTTCAATAAATTTATACTGATAAAGAGCTTTCATAGTATAGGACTGTATTATTTATTTAATATATTTGAAATTTCCATCCCTCCATCTTCCAAGAAAAAATTTTGATGGCATACAGTTTTAAGACATGTAGGGAAAATTAAATAAAAAATAAAAATGTTATAAAAAGATTTCCAGCTAATTAGATAGGATTTAGCATTTTAATATTTTAATATTAACATTAGCTCTGAGTTTCCTGGTAGCTATGGCCAGCAATGAAGGAAATACATCAAAATGTTTTCTGTAGTCCAAAACAAAGGAAACAGATGCTCATCTTCAGTCATATCAATTTACACACATATTCTGTTATATTTTTTTCAGAATTAAAAAAACTCCATGGGGCTGGGGTTGTGGCTCAGCAGCAGAGCTCTCGCCTAGCATGTGCGAGCTGCTGGGTTTGATCCTCAGCACCACATACAAAAAATGAAATAAAATTTAAAAAAATAAAGGTATTGTGTCCCACTACAACTAAAAAAATATTTTTAAAAAATTCCAGTCATTTCAGCCTTGTACTCACTCACTTTACCTGTAATTGGCATTTTTTCCCCATAAAATTTGATCTCTGGCTCTGAGTGAACTATCCAGGAGTAAATTTGTCAAATAACAATAACAACAACAATAACACAATACTAAATGCTTTTTTTTTCCCCTTATCATACTGGGGAATTGAACCCAGGCCTCACACATGCTAGGAAAGTACTCTGCCAATGAGCTAAATCCCAGCTCTGCAAAAAAACTATAACACATTGAAAGAACTCCACAAACAAAGTAATTTTTAACCATTTTTCTTTCATTTAAATGGTCGTCTTCTTTATAGGTTTATATGATTATAAAAGTGATAAAATGGAGTTGGGGGTATAGTTCAGTAGTAGAGTACTTGCCTAGCATGTGCAAACCCTGGGTTTGATCCCAGCACCAAGAAGAAAGGAATGAAAGAGGGAGGAGAAGGAGGAAAAGAGGAAAGAAAATAGACTTAGATCATAGTATAACTTTCCATTTAATTATATCAGGTTTTTTTCCCTGTGAAAGTTTCCATTTTTATATAGTTTTAAATAGTATCCTTTTCTTGGATGACTTTGTTAATTGCTTCTAAGCTTACAAAAATCCTCATCCTATAAAACTTTAACTTTCAACTCTATTTATAATAATTCAAAATATTTTACAAGTAAGTCTTTATTTTGAGTTTTAGTGAATGCTAGGAAATGAAGATCTATCTTGATCTTTTTCTGAGATAGTAAGTAGTGGTTTGTATCACCATTAACGCTGAGCAATCTTTCCCTTCTCAATTGACTTATTCTTCCCCAACCCCTCTCCTTTGTTGTATATGAAGGTCCT